TGCGAAACCTCCCACAACTATTACGCGTTCCTTATCGCTATCCACTCGTGGATACTCTTTATGCTTCGCGCACCATTGGGTAAAAGTCCTCAATATTCTGATGGTCACGTGAAACGAAAACGCAAAATTTTCGTGCGAGAATTATTTGAGATATTTGAGCACGACATACGTCGGCATCTATGTCAATGTCTGTCACATCTCGCGCGATACGTGCTGAGCCATAGCCTTTATTCTAGAAGGCCTATCAATTCCTTGACGGAGGCAATGAGCGCGCGGCCGCTAGAAAAAGGCTATACAGCTACTCTGGGTTACCCCTATAGGGTAATCCAGAGGGGTAACTTATAAAGCATATACAGCTACCCTGGGTTACCCCTCTGGGGTAAGACAGGGTAGCTGTATAGTTTTTGCTTAAGAGCCAGAGTAACGCGCTCCTTTTTATTTTGCCGCCAACTCCGTATTGGCGGAGAGGCGGTCACGTGCACCGAGCTGGATTCGACGTTTGTGCGATAAAGCGACCTTGCAGGAGCCGAGTTTCGGGCGGATCATGCTTCTCGCTTTGCAATTCCGAAATATACAACCTACACTAAAACAGAAGGGACTGGAAGCTTTCTTGACCCTTCAACATTTTGTGTTGCCACTGGATACAGTATAACTGCGTTGTTTTATAATGCGAGCGATGTTTTAAAACATGTTTTCAAAGTCAGGGAAGAAGACGACATGGAGGACGATCGCGTAGCTCTCACAGCCGGGGCTCTTGCAAAAGTGAAGGTCGCTTCCTGCAGTGGGGCCTTGGATTCAACATGGCCGTCCTGGAATCACCATTGCGGTACTCTGCTCCGCAAGGCGCAGTATATACAGTTACTCTAGAGGTGACCTTTCAGCCAGCGCCAACAATAGGCGCGGTGGTCTCTCTGCGAAACAACAAATCAGAGCGGAGAAAAAACAAAGGAGGCTGTCGGTGCGTGGACAAACGGGAGAGGGGCGGAATAAAAATTAATCGACGCAAAATGTTCCCGTGTTCCGAAAAAAAAAAAAAGGAGTGCTTTTGTGTTTGTCTGGTTTTTATCGCTGTGCATTGTTTGGCGCCACCCGAGACAAACCCCGTGAGCGCCCTCTCCGTTGATCTCCTTTCCACTTTACAGAGGCCACGCCCCTTTGCGATATGACAGGCTTTCTATTAAAACAGAGGCTATATGGCAAAGCAGGTTCCATTTATTCGTCGTCTGCCCAGGCAAACGTGGCATACGCCACAATTTCTCATTAATCAGCTCCCACAGAACGGTTGTCGCGGGTAAACGCGTCTCGCACCGCTGCGCTCGGCCCATTTCTGGGTGCAGCCATGTTGACGTCACGTGACCACTAATAGGGTATTGTAGTAGACCGTTCCTGCAGCCCGCTAAGCACCCGGATAGCGCTCCGTAATCCGCCACAAGACCTTGAACTATGCAGACAAGGCTGGCGGCGCAGATGCGCAGCTGCGGCGTTTTCTTCGGGGATACCGGAGCGGAGGAGAAAAACGATCTACTACAACTCCCTAATATGCCCAACGGGAAAGATATCGGAAACCGGTAAGTTGCCATTTTTGGCCGCCGGTGTGCAGCTCTAATTTCCCGAGATGCTCGTGACGCATTGACAGGTAGTCGTCGTGAAGGGTGTCGATGGAGCTATAATGAGTTAGAAGGGTAGCTCTGGCAATCACTCGCTCCTGTTAGCGGCCGAGAGCGGTTTTACGCTTCATATGAGTCACTGTCAGAACCAACCACAACGTCGCAGCTCCACCCCGCTTTGCATGCGCAGTTCTGAGCTACTCTCGCCCTTATGCCATCTCCCTCAAACACTTTGACTCTCTCAGAAGCTCGGCGAAAGGATGGCCTGCAACGCCGGAACTTGATGCATCTCCTCTTTTCTAACCTTGAAATATTAACGTTTTCAAATTCATTGCACTAAACCTTAAAAGACACGTGCAAAGGATTTTTCAAACAACCTACAGGGTGATTCAAGGAGACGCCAGGCTCTTTAAATCTACCGCAAAATTCGGTTTCTTAACCTATCGCGCTACGACTTTGTGCAGTGTTGCCCACAGATGGTGCATTTTTTTGTAAAATTTGCAAAGAGCGAACCTACCTGAGGAAAAAGTGAGCAAAGAAAGAAGCCTTAGCTCTTATGGAAACGCAGCGACGCCACCGGTCTTCAAACAACACGGCACCGTTTCGCACGGAGACAAGAGATGGCGCAAGTGGTCGCGACGCCAACTGCCGCCAACGAACGAGCATACGACGCATAGAGCCGGCGTATTTAGCAGACAAGGAACTGCAGTTCCTTGTTGTTACCGCGCCTGTTTTTGTTTCTGTGACTGTCGCCGCCTGCAGAACGCGCGCCGCTTTTGAGTCGAAAAGATCGTCTGCTAAAGACGCTGGCTCTCGGCGCCGCATGCTCGTTCGTTGGCGGCGTTCGTTGCGCCATCTCTTGTCTCCCGTGCGAAACGGCGCCGTGTTGTTTGAAGACCGGTGGCGTCGCTGCGTTTCCATAGGAGCTAAGCCTTTTTTCTTTCTTTACTTTTTCCTCAGGTAAGTTCGCTCTTTGCAAATTTTACAAAAAAAAAAAAAAAAAAAGCACCATCTGTGGGCAACGCTGCACAAAGTCGTAGCGCGATAGGTTAATAAACCGAATTTCGCGGTCGATTTAAAGAGCCTGGCGTCTCCTTGAATTTCCCTGTAGATGAAAAAAGAACGCCATAAAACAAAACTTACAACGACAAAACTATTTTAGAGCTATATTTACGGCGCGAAACGAATTCGTATTTGGCGCCCCCTGGCGCTCGTGGAAAAGTGGCCGCTATGGTCACGTGACTGGCCACTATGGTCACGTGGTACTTGCGCTCTTTCGGGAGCTTCATATGGACTCTAACAGTTACTTATTAATCTTCGTTTTAAGTACAACAAAAACGAAAAAAAGAAGATTAATAAATAACTGGGTATGACGAGAAGGCGTCCGCCGATCACGGAGGAGCGGTCATGTTTCATGGGGGATCGGGAGGCGGAGCAACTCCGTTCGGGTCGCCTGCTCCATGTCGGATTTGGCCTACTGATCTAGGCGCGCTCCCAAACGACCAATGGAATTCGCCATTAGATATGTTTGCGCATGCGTTCGCCTCCTTCTCACCGCGCCGGAGCAAAGGCTCGCAGCGCAGCATCGTAAATCGCTAAAATCACAATATTTAGGCTTCATTTTCACTAAGATTAAAATACAATGATAACGTATCCTATTCAGTTTCCTGTAGCCTTATTCATTTCTTGCTATCGGCTTTGAACGCATTGCGTGGCCTTGACCTGCTGGTTACGGGTTTTCGTTTGTCTTAAGGGATGGATCTCGCGCTTGTCGCGTGAGCTCCCAGCCCAAGTTATGTCCAGCGACGAAAATCACCAGATAACGAAATAAAAAAAGAAAAAAAGAAAAGGAAAGAAACAAGTTCAAAGCTAGCTACAACCTCCTTCTGAATGCCACGGAAGTGAACATATTAGACAGTTTTAGTATAGCGTTGCTGGCTCTTACGTACGCCATAGGCAATAGTATAGCGTACGCTAAAAGTGACCTGCTCGGACTGAATTTATTTGTGCGTTACATTTTCGAGTGAACACCGCGCATGATTTTGGTTAAATTTGCAAGAGCCGTAGAATTCCGCGTGCTTATAGCGCAGCCATGCTCCTGGAAAGAAATATTGAAAATGAAAACGTGTCAATCATTTTATTTCAAATTAAACCAAGCCGCAGCTGCTTCGTCAAGCGCGCTTTTCTGCGGGGTACAGAGGCTACGAGTACGAGTGCGTAGCCAAATTCGATCACAGAGCCTCCCTCAGTCGTCCCGTGGAAACGGCACTTTTATCAATGCTATCGCGAATGAAATTCATGACCTACTGATGTCCACTGCATAGCGAGAAATTCGGCGATTTCTTTTAGAGTCGTTCGTCCGTCGGCGATGAACTATGCGAATAGGCTTAGCGTTCAGCAGATCGCACCGTTGAGGCACATTCCGAGCGGCGAACATTTTCACTGTTCACTCCTTCAGCTGCACGGCGATCTGATTCGACTGCGGTAGGTCCCAGAAAGCATTGCCGAGCTGAACACCACGCAATTTCACGTAACACAGAACTTCGAAAACACCACGTTGCCCCCTTGTTGCGCCAGTCGAGGTAACCGCCACCTTGAAACTGGCGCTCTCGTCGGGTCCGAGATCTCTCGAGAGCGTCCCGAAAGCCCGCTAGCCCGCCAAGCAAAATCCCCAGCGTTGCGTTCGTACGCAATACGCTAGCCTTTCTACTGCGTTCTGCGCACGCACACTCACGACCCGCAGTCTCCTCGCGTACGCAAAGCTATAGCGTACGGTCCACTAAAACTGTCTGTTATGTATGCTGACTATTCAAGGAAGATCAAGCAAAGTAAAGCGTAAAAGTTGCAATGCGGGAACAGTAATTCATTTGACTAAGCCCCTTCTTCAAAAGGCCAGGTGATGTCAGCGCGAACCAGCTGCGCGCAAAGAGGTTAGGCGCTGTCGCGTGTACCTGGAACAAGTGGTGTAAGCACATAGCTGCGCGCTCGCAATGGCCTAATGTAGGGGAGCTCTTAGCAGCGGGCGAACAATCTCTAATGACGGACTCTGAGCCAAGGTTGGATGACTGCGCTTAACGTTTCGCCTGAGCTCGGCTCGGCTCGGTAGAACACGGGTGGTGTGTAAGCGCGCGGCGAGTACTCACATTCTTCGTGCCAGGATGGATGAATGAATGGATGGATGTTGAAAGTTACACCATTTGTAGCGGGCGGTAGCTTGCGCCACCTAGCAGAAGTCTAAAAAGACAAGCATACGATTTCTCCCGCCCTTCTAAAACCAATTTTCTTTTCCTAACAAGAAATGGTGACCACCAGTGTTGGTCGATAAAATTTTGAAAAGAATCTACAAGGAAAGCATTTATGAGCTCTAAGTCAAGGCCGTACGTGCGTTTCCAGACTCAGGCGTCAGCTGCCTTCCAAGACGCTCGCGTGCGAAGACACGCTGTACGTGAGCCACCTGCGGCAGGAGGCTGGGCCGTACGCGCCATTGCACGACGTCACCCTGTGCCTGCACCGGCGCGAGGTCGTGTCCGTCCTGGGCCCCACGGGCTGCGGCAAGTCGCTCCTGCTCGAGGTGTTGGCCGGTCGGCAGCTCGTCACCGACGGAAACGCCTACCTGCTCGGGCTCAACCTTTTCATGCACACCAACCAGGTACACCTTCTGCCGGATGGCCGTCATCCCGGCGTAGAGTAACGGCTCCTATACTTTGTTCACCCTTAAGGTGAGACTTGAGCCAAGTCTACGAGAGCGACAGAACGGTATCTGGGCTTTGAAAGGCTCTTCCGCAAAACAAGCTCAAGCGCCAGCAAGGCACGTTTCAAAACAAGGTGCATGGGTTAGCTCCTGCTTACACCTTTAACTGCAGCCTCACCTTAATGGTGAACGGAGCTGAGGTGGCGTCGTGTGAAGTCATGTAACCGTGTTATCGCGTCTCCCATCTACGGGGGCAAGGAAGATAGTGGAAATGACAGACTTTTGTATCGTCAATTTAGTATACTTTTGTTTTAGTGCTCATAAAATCCTGGTTAATTTTGGAATTCCCCCGGGAAGACTCTTAGCGTCTATTTTATTTTTGTTATTAAAATCTAATATTTGGAATAAAATTTCTTGGAAGCCGCGGTTATACGTCCAATGACCGCGCAATTGATAAGAAAGGGAACGATTTAATCAAGCAGTACCATTCGAATCGGAAAATTTGGGTTTGATTGAGAAGTATCGTAACTCAGGAGAGATGGGCATAACTTATGGAAGAGCGTTATGTCCCTAGCCCACGAATTGAAGCACACTCGTGTTGGCTACATGCTTGGAAACCCGAGCCTTTCGGAGGTTTCAGATTTTAAATATTCTGAGATATACATAGTCTACCTTTTAAGCTGCATTAAGCATATTACCTGCGTATGTCAACCTCCTCCTAAATTTACCAAAAACTAACTTTATAAGATATAATATTAAAAATATATGTTCCTAAATTATGAATATATTTTTCGGCAGTTGCGGGATGATGCTATCGGGCTTCGGGGAGCCGTTCACGAAACCAATCTCTACGAAGTTAAAAAGGATTGAGGATAGAATGGGTAGGTTTGTATATCGCTAACCAGATGACGTCAGTGGCTGATCTACTTCAGGGAGCTGGTCTGCCATCAGTGACGAAAATAAATTGAGTATTCCAATAAAAATGCTTACGTCAAGTCACATATAGGTCTTTATACAGGGGGTGCGAGTGCTCCAAAATGCTTGTTTGGCGAATGCAAGGAGGAGCACGCCTATCAAACGGAAACACACGGAAGGCGCAGCCAATCGCGCAGCGTTCTTGGTTCAGGTCGAGGTGCTCAAGGAGCAGACGAAATTGCACGCCGTATAGTAGTGCCCAATAGTGAAAAGGAATACCTGTTCTTTTTACCCGAATAGTTAAAGTATACGCACCACAGAAATCTACAACTTCGTGTGACGCTATAGCGGTGCCGACAGAATGGAAGTTTGAGTACATAACATTAACAGAATCGAAACATTCAAAACAAAGACATTTCTCGTGAGCGGACGTCGAGTTATTGGTAAAACAAACTTTCAAGAAATGTAATTGTCGGCGCCTGTGGCATTAATTTCAGCTAAAATAACCTCGTTTCATCACGAATAGAAGCAAGACTGTCCTTTTTGCTGCAAACCCAATGATCGAACAAATCCACTCGATTCATGAACTGGAAATTTTTTTTTTAGTATGGGTATACGCGAAGGCGTCTTCCCACTATATTATGGACATTAGCTTAACCCTTCCTCTACAGCAAAAAATAAAAGAAAAGAAAGCGCTGTCACATTTTCCGGCTTTAATATCCCATAAACAACATCAGCGGCAGTAACCTATGAAGTTCCAGCTTTATAACAATTGAACTGCCATTGAGCTTCATTCGCGCAAGTAGGAGTCGTTGTGGTTGAACTTTAATTACAATGAAATTCTAACGACAACGTCGGAAGTGCTCTGAAAATGGGAGCTAAGGACGAGAGGAGGAGGAAGGGTGTTGAGATATATATTCAGCTTTCCGAAAATCAGCTATAACAAAAACTAAATATTTTCGTCTAAATGCAGCCAATCTACTTAGGAGAAGCTAAGTTTATGGTAGCCCTCTTGCCTGAAAACGGCACGCGTTTTGTCGCCAAAATCATGAGACGCATGGAATGCAGTACTAACGCATGAAAGGCTTTTTAACAGAACCCCCAATCCCAAAGTTGCGTCCGTCTGTCCGAATGTCTGAGCATTTTCTGCTACATTTAGCTTGAAAACTGAGATCACGTGACCGATATACCAACTGAGAAAATTAACATTACGTGAGCTATTCATCAAGTCAATTTCCCTGCTAAATTTAGCGGGAGTAAAAAAAAAAAAAAAAAAAAAAAAAACAAGAGGATATTATGATAATGGAAGTATTGCAAAGGTGCAACCGAACTGGACAAGAATTACGATAATAATCCCTGGAGAAGGCTAACAGGAGGCACAAGGGACAGACACTAATCTCCAAACACAGCTAGGGGACTGGTGCGCGACCGAAAAAATCCGCCTGGTTTAGGTATCGAACAAGGCACCTCTCCGTTTCCAGTGGCTACCAACTGAGCTAAGCAGGAAATAGACGTCAGTAGAGCAAACGGGTTTTATATAGGGAGACTTCATGTGCGCTTTGCTGGGGTGATGCCACTTTTTGTAATACCACTCGCCGACAAACCAGCAGCCATTTTGGTCCTCGGCGACAATCTGTGGACCTGTAACCCTCCCGGAAACAAGCACCTTATCTCACAAGTTCGGAGCAGCGTTGTGGAACCCACGGAGGGAGGATTAGCACTTCCCCCCTCGGATGGGAGGACCGATGGACACAAAGGCCACTTTCCGGCGCACGGGGAAACAATGAGGAACAAAATGGCGGTGGACGAGGGTGTGGGAAAGGGAAACAGGCAGTTGGCATCACCTTATGCGAAGCGCACATGGAGGCATACTAGTTTTATCAGCTGCCACGAGTCTACCACCAACAAGGTTTGTTGGTGTTAGATTGGTGGCAGCTCATAACACCCGTTTGCTCTACTGACGTCTAACTCCTAGTTAGCTCAATTGGTAGAGCGCTCCACTGGAAATAGAGAAATCCTTCGTTGGATACCAGGACCAGGCGCGTTTTTTCGGTCGTGCACCAGTCACCTCGACCTGTTTGGAGATTTATGTCTGCCCATCGTCTCCCTTGTTCCTCTTCTCCAGGGATTATTATCATCGCCAAGAGGCCCTGGGTTTGATTCCTGGTGAGCCAGTGTTAATTTATTGTCTGAAAAAATGATTTTCCTCGTTGCCTTACTTATGTGGCTGTGGTACCCAAACCGGTCGTGCTGGCAAGCCCTACCATGGTGTACCTGCGGACGGATGGACGGATGCCGGTACGGACGAATACATTTTTGGCACTAGAAGGTTCTGCTTTAAAGCATTTCAAATTATAAAATACATGTGTCGTTCAAATTAAGGTGGCCATCGCTATCACGTGAATTGCTTGAGCACGCTCTTGAGTAATATAAAATTGTGGCAGAAGTATTTCTGCGGCTGTCCAAGCTAACGCAGAGCGTTTGGTTAATCGCGCCTTTTTTTGCGCAGTTTGTGCGTCAGCTCGGCTACATGCCCCAGGAATTGGGAAAGCTCTCCTGGATGACGGGACGGCAGCTCATGCAGCACATGGCCAGGATGCGCCGGATTCCTGCAGCTGTCATCTATAACGTCGTGAACCAGGTCATGTACATGCTGGATCTTTTCGACGATGCCGACAAGCCCATCGGACATTTCAGGTATATCTTTTATTTCCTCATCTCTATTTCCGCCACCAATCAAATAAACACAGTATAATAGATAAAAAAAACAGTGTATATTGGCGATGCTTTGCTACAGACTACGTCGAAAGGAGAAATCATTGCTTGTCTCCCGTAGTCAGTGACAGGTTATGGAATTTCCTCCCACCTCTTGCAGAGCAAACGCTGGAGAGGACGAGACCTCCTCTCCGACATTCGCTTTAATAAAGTGGAAAGAGGTGGGAGGAGCCTCTAGTTTACTCTTCACTTGCCACCGACTAGTGTACTTGAACAGCACGCTTGTTAGGACTATTTTAATGATATTTTCTGGCGGCCCTCTCGCGCGTCGAGCACAGTCACACTGAGTAAGTTGGCGCTTCCTTTCAGCCATTTCCGCGCAGGTGGGCAATAAGGAGACGTGAACGGCACATTAACTTGACTTTCCCGCGACCCGAGCATATGTGAGCTATAATGGGAGCATGTCTCCGGCAGCGCATGTACACCCGCCGGCAATATGAAGATGAACACTTTACCTGGTTTCTTGCCTGTTTTACGGGTCCCTAAAGCTCTATTAACTCTCAGCGTCTCAAATGGTACGTGGCCAAGGGTCTAAACTTTGCGTTCTAGCCCTCTTCTGGGACAGAGCTTGTTCCAAAACTTGCAGGATGTCAAAAACAAGAGGGCTGTTCACCTTCATATCGCTCACGGGTGTAAGGGCGTTTTGATGTGGTGATCGAAGTTTTGGCGGGGAAGGGATGACTAGACAAATTGACAAGAACGAGAAAATTGCTACCGCCTTCCAAAGAAAATCGAACTCAGGGCACCAACGTTTTGAGCCCGGCGATGAATCACTACGCCGACGGGAAGTCTCGGGATGCGGTATTTATTATGTGCCCCTATCCTTATAAAGTGCGTGTCGGGCCAAGGTCCGAGGCGCTTTCTGGACGTGTCGCAGACATCTCATCTGGAAAGAAGAACGAGCGGTGTGAAGATAAGATGACTGAGCAGAAGCTGCGCCGTGATGAGTTTGTCTATCTTGAATGGGTGAAGATGTACAATATTCGACAACTAGTTGCCCGATTATGGGTTTGTCGCAATTTAATAGAACTCATATGAATGTAATCTACAGCAAAGAACTGTAGAAATACAGTCGCGATTTTATAATCTTTATTTGGTCTTGTTTCCCAGTATATACAAAGTGCATTTGGTATGATCACTGGAATATTTATTATATTTATTACCCATTTTGTGTTCGTTTTGCAACCGTTTAATAATGACATACCCCTAAGAAAAAATTCATCGTACAAGGGACGTACCATATTGATTTACCATTTATTTTTACGCTTCAGATACCGGTCACTTAGGGGTCTGTACATATGTCAACATTCTCAACAGACTGACCTTGGTGCCCAGTGCCCTTGCACTATCTGTGTAGCTGCCTCTCTATGCCTTGCTGGAACCACTTTTCTAAGTGCCTTGCACCCATGCCTGGAACGGTGCTTTCAGCTTATTGATCACCTTTAGGTGTTGTCTTTGCAGGGAGTTTTTTCATGCCACTGAACGGGTAAAAACACGTGGGGGCTGTCGTGCCGGGCTGTGGCCGGCGGTCAAACCGCACGGCCCACCAGCGACGGCAAGCAAGCAACTGAGCCAACTGAGCGTCCAGAGCCGGGAACCAAAAAGCATGTTTATCTCACGAGGCAATGGCTTTTTACAGAAAACGTGGGCACAGTGTTCGCAACCCAATTATCGAAAGTGTCCTAACTTGGCACTCACGCCGCCCACAACATCTCCCCCCTTAAAAATGTCCGAGAATGTCCCGGGCATTTTAGCTGTGAAAAAAAAAAAAAAACAGTTTTACAGATAGTGTCTTTTGGGAGCAACCACTTGTCTCCCAGAATGGGTCGTGTAGGCTTGGCCTGTGTCATAACCACGAACACCTGGTGGTAACGCCGGACGAGGCACATCACAATGAGGGGAGTCGTCAGGTCCCCCCGAGGCCGAACCATCGCCGGAAGCTGGAGTAGCAAACGGCGTCGAAGATGCGCTCCTGTCACTGCGTCAACGACATAAGACCTCGGGCGTTGAGCCGGGCTTAAGGCAGTGCCACGCAGCCTCTCGGGTTCAACCCAAACTCAAGTGCCCTGTTAAAGTCTTGGAAGAGCACGGGCTCGATGACGGCTGTTGAAGTCTGCTGTCTGTTTCCTACAGTAGTCGGAGTCTCGGGTGACAACCAGGTCTCGTCCCGGATTAAGAGGCTGTAGCTGCTCCTTCCTCTTCTGAACCCGCGTTCGAAGCTGGCGGCCCATCAACAGCTGTGCTGGGTTGTAGCCGGTGACACCTTGCGTGTCTCTGTAACTGAGGAGCGCCAAGTACGGGTCCTTGGCCTTGCGAAAGAGGTCCTTAATGGTTCGAACCATTCGTTCAACTTCACTGTTTGACTGGGGGAAGTTTGGGCTACTGGTCACACGTGCGAAGCAGCAGGAGCTTGCGAATCGGCCGAACACCAGAGACAAAACTGGGGGACCGTTACCAGACCGGAAAGTCTTGGGGATTCCGTGACGATCAAACATACTCTTGAGGACGTCAATGACCTTCCCTGCTGTCGTGCTTCGTAGCGTCGCCCGGGGTACCGGGAACAGTAGTCAACTAGAAGAATGAAGGTTTTGCCGTTCAAGTGGAAGAGGTCGACACCGAGGACTTCCCTCAGAAGGCACGGGCTCTGGACTTGCAGCGGTTGATACCTTGATGGCCTTCGTGGATCAAGGCTAGTATCGTCGGGCGGAGTGCTGCTGAGATGACGATACGGGTTCCCTTCAGCAGAAGACCATTGCAGACTGAAAGTTCTTCCAACACGGGTGCATACATTGCAACGTGCGTAGGTAACTTTCCCTTGGATGCCAACCGCCCTGGAAGGATGAGATGTGGGTACTGCATTCACCCTCGGATGTTTGAGCCATCTTGAGATCTTCTATGGAAGCTGAAAGCACCTCAGAGGAGCCGTCCACTTTTTCTGCAGCGAAAAGCTCGATGGCGTCCAGCTCTCCCGGCCCGACGATGGCCTTGCAAGGGATTCGAGACAGTGTGTCGGCCGTGACTAGTAGTTTTTCAGGAACGTGCAGCATTCGGAATCGATACGGCATCAGTTTCTGCCGCAACCGTTGAATCCGCGGTGGCACGACGTCGAGCTACATCTTTCCGAAAAGGGAGACCAATGGCAGATGATTCGTCTCAACATCAAAGGAGATGCCATGCCTATACTCACTGCATCTCTGTACAGCCCAGGTAACCGCCGAAGCCTCCTTCTCCACCTCTCTGTAGTGCTGCTCAGTTGTTGTCAGGGGTCTTGGCGCAAAGGCGACAGCTGGACTTTCTCCTGTTGGTTGAGTCAGGAGCAACACCGCGCCTAGGCCGAAGGAGCTTGCATCCGCTGAGACCGTAGACGGGTAGGCTGGGTGGTAATTTCCCATACAACGGTCGGACGTCAGCAGCTTCTTGAGAGCATCAAAGACGACTTCCTGTTCGTACGATCAGGTCCACTCCGTGTTCTTGCTAAGCAGAGCCCTGATCGGCGCTGTCACTTGGGCCACGTGTGGGAGGAAGCGGGCCAAGTGATTCACCGTGCCGAGAAGTCGGCGTACCCCAGCGACGTCCGTTGGTGGGTCCATGTTTTGCACGGCGGACAGCTTGCCGGGATCAGCCCTTATCCCTTCCGCTGAGACAACAACTCCCAGGACTGACACTTGGGACACTCCAAAACTGCACTCCTCCCTTTTAAGGGTAACGCCGGCTTCGGAGAGACACAACAGCACCTGCTGCAGGCGTTGGCCTTGTTCCTTCTTCGTTCTGCCAAAGACTAGGACGCCGTCGACCATGTTAACTGTTCGGTCTAGGCCCTCTGAAATCCAAGCCATCTGTCGCTTGAAAAACTCTGGGGCCGACGTGATGCCAAATGGGAGGCGGCAAAAGCAATAACGCCCAAACGGCATAATGAATGTCGTAAGCTCTTGCGGGTCCTGGGGAAGCTTGACCTGATAGAAGCTTCAAGTAGCATCGAGCTTCGAGAAGACTGCTGCATCCCCCAGAAGTCACAGGACTTGATCAACAGTGGGGAGCACATGGCGGCCTCTCAGGACAACTTGATTTAGCTTGGTAAGGTCAACACAGAGGCGGGAGCCTCCCGACGACTTTGGAATTACGACCAGTCCAGCGCACCAAGGTGTGGGGTTGGTGACACGCCAAATGACTCTGTCTTGCTCCAGTTTGGCCAGCTCCGTTCGCACCCCCTCGCGCAGGGGTATTTTAATGTCGTCCAAGAACTTGACCACACCAAGAGCCTGGATGGCTTGGACCCCAAACTGGGGCACGGGGAGGGACTTGATCACGTACAGACGCTGACGACGGGTCTTGCCTCGCCATAAGAGGGTAGCCAAAAAAAACCACGACTAGCGACTGGTCTCCCGGTCCTGCCAGCAGGTCGTCGACCATGTGCAGATGACGAGGTCAGTTCGGAAAGGCTTTCGAAACAGCAGACACGTCCGCGCCGGAATCTACCTTGAATCTCGCCGTGTAGTTGTCGACAGTGACCTCGACGTACTTGGCCTTGGCTTTCTCAATCTCGAGGATTGCGTGGAGCTGTAAGGTCGCCACCTTGCTCTGCTTTCGTTTACGAGCGCGAATGACATCCACGAAGTGGCCCTTCTTCTTGCAGTAGTTGTACGGAGACTGCCGAGCAGGACAGTCGGAGCGTGCGTGGGGGGGCTCGACCGCAGTAGCTGCAGGAACCCCAGTCGTTATCGCCACGTGAAGACACGGCTGACGCGTCGTCTGACCGTTTCGTTGTCTTGCGCTGGTGCGTCGGACCACGACGAGACTTCGTAGCGTCAACGTTGACGGTAAGCTGGCCTGACTCACGCCCACGAGTAGTCTTTTTTTTTTTTTGGCGTCTTCGGCCTGTCTCGCCTACGTCCACGCGTCCTTGAGGCTCAGCTTGGCGTTCTGGCAGAGTTGGTCGGACAGGCGTCCGTCGCAAAGACCGACAACGAACCGGTCGCGAACCAGACGTTCTTCGACATCGGGGGACGGGTAGTTGCACGGCTTGACAAGCTTGCAGAGCTCGGCGTGGTAACTGTCGACGCTCTCTCCCGGCTGCTGTACCCGCTTGTGGAACCTCGATGACTTGTACACCTCGTTGAGGGGGTGCACAAAGCGTTCCGAGAAGCGTTTGACTACCGTGTCGTAGTCGTTCAGGGAGGCGGCGTTCAAGCCGAACGTGTCGAGAAGGACCCGAGCTTCGGGGCCCATACAGTAGAGAAGTGTCCGCACCTGAATGTACGGTGGTGCCTGGCGATGTCCGGAGGCATAAGCGTAGCCCTCGAATTGCGTAAGCCACGCAGTACAAGAATCGGTGTTGTCGAAGTTGAAAGCAGCGGGCTGACGTAGGGAGACGCCCACCCACGTTGGAGCTTCTTGCGAGTTCGCCATGAGAACATGAGACTTAGGCCTAATGCGCTGTCATGAGGACCGAAGGTACGTATGCCTAGTGGACTGCTTCTGGCACTATGTCGTGCCGGGCTGTGGCCGGCGGTGAAACTGCAAGGCCCACCAGCTACGGCAAGGTAGCAACTGAGCCGACTGAGCGTCTAGAGCCGGGAACCAAAAAGCATGTTTATCTCACGAGGCAATGGCTTCTCACAGAAGACGCGGGCACAGTGTTCGCAACCCAATTACCGAAAGTGTCCAAACTTGGCACTAGCTCCGCCCACAACAAGGGCCAGGCCATGCCATGCCATATCCATGCACAACTAAATGTTCTACTGGTCGTACAACGCGTCAGAAAGACGACCGCACTCGGTCAGGTGCTGGTCAGTCACGGCCTTACTCAATGCACATGACAGTGATTGGCGGGAGCTTCATCGGGTGTGGCCGTCTTCCTGACAAGTCATACGACCTGTCGGGTGTTTGTTCGTACATAAGAACGGCCTGATCGGGCCCCCAGTGGTTATAACCTGTGACGTGGCATCAAACAAACCCTGCGAGAATATAATTTTGTTAGGTATAGCTGTCAGCTCGAACATAAACACGAAAACAAAAAGGATAAAAAGGGACATGCACACCGATGCGTACACACCACTGTGCAAACAGCGGTGTGTATGTCGCTTTCTAACCTGTGTGTTTTTTTAGTTATTTTCTAGCTGACACTTATACCTAGCATGTACCAGCTAGCTCAACTTACGACTGTATTGCACAGTAAAAAAAAAAAAAAACGTGCTTGACGTTTTTGATTACAGATCGTTAATACAACAATATGTGCAATACAGTAAACAACCCAGCACAATGCGCCACACAATGTACGAGTAAAAAAGATAAAATGAAGGAAAGAGGGCTCATTCCGGAGCGGATTCAGCACGGTCAAAAAGCCTGCGCTTGTGACGCCAGAACTGGCCGCCAGTTTGGGAGACAGAACGACAGATTGTAAAATAAAGAGCACAAGAATAGTATTGTTCTCCGGGAGAGGCGGACACATTCCGAAACACATTTCTATTCCTTTCTTTGTTTTTTTAAACTAAATTTTTCTGGAGCTTTTTTTACTTACGACGTATCATCTCTCACTACAACTTCGCATCCTTACACTGCCACTAGGAAAGAAGGATAAGGATTAGGCCTTTTTAGAGCGCATCTCTTAGGCGCCTGTTTCCGGCTTGAGCAGTGTCGCCGTCGGCGTAATTGCACGCGTTGCGTATGGGACGTCACAGACCTACACAGCAACTCAATTTCCCGCTAAATTTAGCGAAGAAACTGAATTGGTGGGCAGCTCTGTGACGTCCCATAACGCAACACTGCGGATTCAATATCCCCCGCTAAATTTAGCGGGAAAACTAACGTCGCATGAGCTCAACCCCAATTCAAAGTCCCCGCTAAATTTAGAGGAAAAATTAATTTGTGTTTAAATCACGTCGCGTCAGTTTTTCCGCTAAATCTAGTGGAGGAACTGAATTTGTTCATAGGTGACGTGACACAAAGTCATAAGACGTCATTTTCCCCGCTAATTAAAACAGGAAAGTGAACTGGGGTTGTAATGACGTGCCATCAATTTCTCAGCTAATTTTAAAAGGGAAAGTGTGGGCGGAGGGGAGGGTATGGGAGGAGGAGGGGAGGGTACGGAGGAAGATGGGAATACCCTCCCCTCCGTACCCTTTCCTCCTCCTCAAGAGCTGCACTCTGATTTCGAATTCCAGAGATAGGTAAACGTCTCATTTTTTTAGAGCGCAGCTGTTAGGCGCCCGTTTCCGCCTTGAGCAGCGTCGCCGTCGGCGTAACTGCGCTTTGCATGCAACGCGCATGCAAAGCTTGCAAGCGGCGTAACCGCGCGTTGCATTATGGGCAGTTTCCCATAATGACGTCACGAGGGTTACCCTCGTCAGGGTTACGAGGTTTACTCTCACGAGGGTTACCCTCACGAGGATCACGAGTGTTACCTTCACGAAGGTCATGAGCGTTGACGCCACGAGAGTTGCGAGGGTTAGTTACCCTCAAAAGGGTTACCCGCACGAGGGTCACGAGGGTTACTCTCACGAGATTCACGAGGGTTATGAATTACCCTCACGTAACCCCCGCCTGAGATCACGTGGTTCCCCCTGAGGTCACGTGACCCCCACCCTGGTGTCACCTAACCTCAGCTATTTTTCAGTACCTTTCCATCCTCCTCCTGAAGAGCTGCGTTCTAATCTGGCGTTACAGGGAGTTGTAAACGGCTTTTATTTTCTTTGTTTCCCCCACAATATGCAAAACCAAACGAGAAGTGGTTCGCCTTGCGACACCTATGCGGCACTGCCTTCAATATGCTCTCCTTTTTACCTACCACATCCGCCTCCCCTCTTTTCTTGCAACTTGGCTGTATAAAGTACTGTCACCGAGGGTGCAAGCTTTCTCTCTTTGTGGTAGGCTATGGCACGGTAAAGCGGAGCATAATCCTAGAAAAAGTGGTGATGTTGAGGGCGATTATTGGTCAATTTCCTCTGTAGATACATATCATTTAGAAAAAACGACAGCTGCACCACACAAAAAATGCACTTTAAAAGAAAAAAAAAATATCAGCTTCATTGTATTTCTTAAAACGAGCCAAACGTGCTCTCTGTTTGCAGCTCGGGGGCCCTACGCAAGCTGTCGATGTCCTTGGCAGTCTTGGGAGCCCCACAGGTGCTGCTGCTCGACAATCCGACCCAGCATCTGGACCCCGTGTCGAGAAAGCGCTTGTGGCACACCATCATCACCTTCGTAAAGAAGACGCACGCATCTGTGCTCATCGCCACAGACGAGTGAGCTTTAACCTCCGAGACCGGAGGTTGATGCATTTAGGATCTGTCACGACTAGGGATGTCGTGATTGTTCGTAGGACCTTGAGGTTCGACTGGTCCAGCGACTTTTCACATGCTTAGCAAACGTCGACAAATTTAGGCTTCAAAGAAAAAATTTGACTTCTTGGGGAAACAAAAAGTTGGAACATGCTTAGAACTTGAGATAACAAGAAAGAAATTTACACAACATAAAAACAAAGAAATAAGCATTTCCAAATATTGCGGATTTCAGCGAACTAAGGAGGGCACTCTGGTTAGGCAAAATGTTGGAAGAAAATAGGTCAGTTTCATCATTTAGCACGCCAAACAGCTTAGACGTCTAGCGTTGCATCGTGCAGTAGATTTTCGCTATAAAAATAAAGTGCTTTCTGGGCGGTAAATACCTTGCTTTTTGCGTATCTGTTACCCGAGCCGCCACCAGTCGACGCGTCCTCCGAGACACCATTGCTGACCTCCACATATGATCGCGCGCCTGCTCTCCCAGTTTACAGAGCCATCGTTTGCGGCCGCTAGCGTCCGATACGCGACAGCAGTAGGACGCGTAGACTGCGTCTAGCGAGAAAAAAGTGATCAGTGCTAGTAGCTTCCGAAGACTGCGGTGACGACGTTGGGTTCAGGAACCACGATGCAGCGCCCATGGACTGTCCGGGGCTCTCAAAGAAGGCCGTTGTCGCAGCAGCACTTTTCTGTCTGAGCCTTTTCTTCATATCTGCACTTGACACAAATTACAATTGCCAATGTGTCAAAAAAAAAAAAACAATCCTGAATTGAGTTTATGTTTTACGTTGGGGAATAATACCTTTTCACGATGTCTTCTCAGAGCTCCTCACGGAATTTTGCGCCCAAAACAACCTCCGGGGCGTAAGAACTAGCAGCAGCGCCCCCTAGCAATTCGAATTTGCACGGGAGCTGCTGTGACGACACAATCGAAGAAAGAAAAGGAAAGCTGAGGCATTTTCTGCTGACGGAGAAACGTCTGCTTCGATCGTCCGACTGTGTCGTCACAGTCGCTCTTTCTTGTGTTCATGCATTAAAAGAAAAATAATGTAATCATTTTACTTATCTTGTTCTTCTTTCTGTCTTTTTGAGACTTCTCTCAGTAGTGAACATGCAGAGTAAACAAAAGTTTTAAATTGTATTCGGTGTCCCTTAGGTTACTATATGCTAAAGCCTTTGTAATCAATTACTTACCAAAATCATAGAAGTTTAAGTAACTGATCGTATTGTTGTTGCATTTGAACAATAACGTTTACAGCTCCACTCAGCACAGCCATGGTATGCTGTAGTAAACAAAACCTGCCAAACAAACATCGAGCTGTTTATTTATGTTCTTATTTGTAACTAACTGCAAACCCCTGGATCTTAACAGGATGGGCACAAAGTAGGAGAAAGAAATCGCACAATCAAGCTAAACAATCAATGCCGCTATAAAAAGCAAACATCGTTATCTGACGCTGCAAATATTAGGAAGTTTTAGGGACCCGTTTTCGCACATCCGATACGGTACGATAGGCCCTGCGGTAGCGCATGCGCAGTTCGTACCGGAGGGCCCATCGTACAGTATCGGATGTGCAAAAACCGGTCCCTAAAACTCCCTATTACGATTGTACACTTAGGCAAACAACGCGTAAGATATAAAACATCACTATCCAATAGGTTTACAAGGTATTGGCAGTGGCGAAATTATATGACAGTTATAAATCTTTATCTTAAACAAAAAAATGCACACAAAAGCGCACTCAAGCAAACAGCGCAGTACATTAAAAAGTGTAATAATATAATCACATTTCAATAACGCTTTCTAGTGATGATGCCAAATCTGAAACATGAAACAATTCAGCCGACGTTGCTAATGGAACAAACCAAGCCGCATCAAATCTACAAGTCACTGGGTCTTTTTTTTTTTAAAGAGTGGTTCAGAGATGGTAAAACATGTACAGAAAAATGGCAAACGCCATGATGGTGCCCTTTTGACGTATGATTGGTCCTATAAGCTCGTATTGTCCGCTGCATCTAAACTTAAGGTAAAGCAAAGCATAGGGGCAATATATACCACTCATTTTCTCTCTGCGGAAAGTATGAGAACATAAATATATTAGTACGCGCCAAATATGAAGTTAAAAAATAAGGCTCCAGTCCACGCTGTGATGGTGGTTGGACAGCGAATCTGTGGTATCACCTGCAACGATTGCCCACTGCACGATAGACCCTTTTTATGGCAAACGTCACCAGGTGGTGCTCCAGCCTTTGACGTGCCAGAGAACTTCCGGTTAAAAAAATTAACAAAGCCGCTTGAACACCACCGCTTGAAACGTCGATGAAACGTTTAACCGCCGATTCTCCAGGACAACACCAAAAGAACGAGAAAGTGCGAGATCTGTTAAAATGTTTCGACTGGTCTTGTAAGTCAACTTGCCTTCCCCAAGATGCAATATTGTACAGGCGAAAACCCTCGTTAAATCTCAAACTTCGTTGTTCGTCTAGAATTTATGCTTTCCAGCACTGGTGACATAAGCAAGCTCAACAGGTTTGCAAAGACGGTGCGACCGGAAGTCGCCTGGGACTCAAGCGGCAGTTCATATTGGTAAACGGCAAAAGGGTCTATACCAAATGAATAACTTAAGAAAAGCAAATGCACTGCACCGAAACCTGTTTATAAGCTTTTCGTTCTTTTTCTAAGATTTAGAGATCTGTTTAAAAAATGCCGTGAAAGTTGCACTTACGCGGTTTGTGCGGTTGATTTATACAGCCAGGGGGACATTATGTGGGCGGTAATCTTTGCGATAAATCGGCTAATTACTTAAAATTCGTTAATTAACTTTTTAATTAGTGAAAATAGTTATGTGATTTCAATTAGAAACTTATTGAGGGCCATCAAAAACCACTAAACCAACTTTTTTTAGAACTACTTGCAGCTCGAGAGGAACTCAGCAGCACAGCAAAGTTACTACTAATGCAGCAGGCGCAAAGCTAGAAGTGGCAAAACGCGGATGACTTTACCATCGCGTTCCCACACTTCAAGCTTTGCGCCTGCTTTACGAGTGATAAGTTTGGTGCGCCCCCAAATACGAGCATCAAGTCGTTCTAAAAAGAGTTGATTTAGTGGTTTTCGATGACGTTCAGTAGGTTTCTAATTGGAACCGTATGTCTATTTTCACTAACTGAAAAGTTAATTAACAAATTTTTATCACTTAGTCGACTAGTCGCAAACATTGGCCACCTACATAATGCCCCCCTGGCCGTATAACTCAGCCGCAGAAACCGCATCAGTGTAAATTTCACGGCTTTTTTTAAACAGAAAAAAAAAGAAACCAAAAAGAAAACAGCCTGTATATGAAAGACTGTGCGCTGCAGCTTATGCAACCGCAATATTTACCGAGAAACGAATGCGGGGAGCGCAACGTGCTTATCATCGTTCGCGCGCGCCTTATAATCTATCACGTGGCTTTGACACTTGTTTTTTTTGTTTTTTTTATTGAAACAAGTCTCAAAACCGCATGATCAATGATAAGGCGCGCGTGTGGGTTATTTGTCGACGGACACGGAAAAAGTCCCACCTGCGAATCATATACAGCTTCGTTGTAAAAGTGTTCATGGTTACGTCTATATTTCGTTTTACCTTAAGTGCAAATGTGGCCGACGCTACGAGCTGATGGTACCAATCAGAGGGTGTTCAAAATGCACAATCATGGTGTTCGTCATCTTCCTGTACGCATCCTATTGTTCCTGAACGAATGATAAACAGAAAAGCCCAGTGACGCGCTTTTGACGCTGCTTGATCGGTCCCATTACCTCGTATCAGGGAGATTTAGCGAGTCGCTTTTCGAGCACACGGCTCCGAAATCACGAACGGTGCAGCTGGTCCGTTCCGTGAAACCGTATACGTGAAATTTGACAAATTTTAGCGAGTCGTGAAACTGGCGCAACTGTGTAAACGAGGATGATGATTGTGTTTGACGGTGGCGCCATCTTCTAGTAACACGTCAAACATTCTGCAACGTGTAAATCCGTGCCGGCTTGTGTTTCCGGCGTACGATTGATGTAAACAAGACAGCCGACGTAGCAAATGCCGGTCAGAATTTCAAGAACTGCGAAGCTAGATAGAGTAGTAAAGTGGTAATTTGAGCTAGTTGGTACATCTTTAATATTAAACAGCGCACAAAAAGTCGGCGGAAGAGAAAAGGACAGTAGAACGAAAGAGCGCTGACTCCCAACTGATTAATTTCGAAAGAAGAGAAAAGAAGGTAAAAGAAGCCACGAAAATTGGACCGCACGTAAAGTGAAGAAAAGATAAAAGAAACAAAGAAAAGCGAAGAAGAAGAAAAGGAAGAAAATATGTACAGTGGGATCTATAGATTTAAGAAAAACAAGAAAAGAAATATAAAGGTAAAAAAGAAGAAATAAATGGATAGAGTAAAATGTTTCTGAACAACCGTAAAGGTATAGGGAGTATTCACTGGACGCCATATTTGTGGGTACTGTTTAAAGCGCATGCTCAGAACGAGCTCACATCAATATGGCTAAGGCCGGCACTCTTGACCGGCCTGCAAAGGCCGGCACGTTGCAAAAGAACTGTGGAAGCTCGCCATCAGCACGCGCTCAGCATTCGCGCACACAGCTATGGCCGTCAGTGAATACTTCCTATATGGTGCGTCTCCGTCATCTTGAGCGCGAACGATCGTCCACGCTGTGTGCCGTCGAACCCAATCATTTCGTCTGCTCGCGGTCGCCATGGCAGCTAGTCTGCCCGCATATTGCAAAAATTTACTAGCATGTACAGTTTACAGCCTTCACGATCGCTTACCATTGTGGGCAGTCCTAAAAATGATTTGGTTCAACCTCTCAAATAAAGCAGACAAACAGGATGGAAAATCTCCTCCCGCTGTCCTATGCCTAACGAAGCAAATCGCCAAACCGACCGCCATCGTTTTTGTCCCCCGAGAAGTGAACGGTACTGGCTG